TAATCAATTTATAACCAACTTTTATTCCCAAGAAAATCATTCATAAAACATAAATGAAAATCATAAAATAAAAGTGTTGTACTTGAAAATAAAAGTACCTGCTGATTGTTGAAGAAGTCGAACTACCGAAGTCTTTGTCATCTCACGTTTGAAGCCTGAAGGCTGAAGCGCAGAAGCGGTGAAGAGAATAACTTCTAGGTTTGAAACCGAATGCTGAAGCCTGATTCTACTCACCTGACTAGCTGATTGGCTAAAGAAGGACTTCGGCCGTTCCCGTTCGATACTTCGCCGACGGAGGACTGAAAAATTATGGGTGAAAGAGAAACCCAGGGGTTGCTCTGCTGCTGCTCAAACCGGAGTGAAAGGATTTGGGAAATGCCAAAAAATTGGGTCATTGGGAATTAATTGGGTTAATGGGTTTTCAATTGGGCTACTGGGCTACTGACTATCGGGCTAAACAGTGGGCTACAATCGTTTAACCTTAAATTTTAATACATCTGGGTTTGGGCTGCACTGAGCTACAGTCCCGTGCAGCCCACCACTAGATCCGCCCCTGGATTCATGCATAATCAAATGATTGTTAATTGGTTTAAATTAATGAATTGGTTTGAATGATTTGTCTGCATGCGTGTCCTTTAATAATAATATTTATGCATTCAATTCATCAATTCATGATTGTCCGTTAATGAATTAGCATCATTAATTTTTATTTTATTTTTTACTTTTCTATTCCACTCAATTATGTTAATGAATTCAAGTTAATTTACGTGTATATATAGGTTAATATTATTATTGGAGTGTGAAATTGAACGTTTCATCCTTTTATTTTATATTTAGAAATAAAATATCAATTATTGAATTCATTCTTAATTGTTGTTACTCCTGAAGTGGCACAATATTATAAATAACTGAAGAGCTAATGTTTCTAAATAATAATTTGTTGTTGCTCCTGAAGTAGTACAACATTATAATTAATATTCCTAAAAAATATTACTTGTTTTTAAAGAGCATAAATTATATTTTTCAATATTCCCGAAGAACATTGACATATTACTCTTGAAGAAACAAAAGTAAAATACAACTGCTCCCGAAGTAGCATAGGTTTCGAAGAACATATTATTTTAAATTAGTGTTTATCCTTAAAGAAAACACTTAACTTATGTTATGTTGATATTGACTACTTGATGTTTAATCATATTATTTGAAACTAATTGTATTTCCTTTTGCTTTATTGTGGACTTAATCAAATGACAAATATCACAAAATTTGAGTTGCTGCACTTGATATATTTAACAAAAACTATTTGTCATTGGTACCCGATATTGATATCCATCTAATTTCAAAAGGTTTGAAAGACAATAAAAGAAGAAAACATAAGTTTAATTAATATTCTTATAATATTCAATAAGAATATTAATTTATCGCTTCAGAAGAGCATACAATTCGATGTTTCAATATTCTCAAAGAATATCAATAATAGTAGTGTTTCTGAAGAAGCATAGATCTTAAATACTAAAAAGATTTAAGATGGAATATCAAGATATTTATTTAGTAGATAGTGCAAATATGCATACAATTCTTCGAGATAAAAATACTTCTTAAATAATGTTAATATGCACACAATATTTATTGTTGAAGGCTCCATAAAAGTTTGTATTATTTGATTCAAAATTATATATTAACGATACATTTTATTCAAGCAAATTCGGAAGAAATTTTTTTAGTTTTAAAGATATTCGCTACAATTGATATCTCATTAAGACGATGCAAGAAAATGATGTTGAATATTTTTGTATAACTTTTTTGTATCTGGTCAGAAGCGGATAAAAGAAAAATTTCATGCACTTCAATTTGGCATGTATTATACATTTATAAAAATGGTTGAATCAAATATTATCACAAACCAGAAGTTCGTCGATCCAAAAAAAGTTATACTTTGGCATGATCGACTGGACTTCCAAAAGCTATAATGATGAGTCAAATAATAAACAACTCACACGAACATCCTTTAAAGAACCAAAATATTCTTTTACTAATGATTATCCTTGTGTAACTCGTTCGTAAGGCAAGTTAGTTATTAGACCTTCGGCTACAAATGTCAATATTGAAT